CTCCTCTCTGTCCCTTCTCTGTTGTGTTCTTTGTCAAAAACAACACAACTAGCCACACGCCTAGTTTCTCCTTCCCTCCCACAGTGTTTCACACACGCACACAAACATCAGTATTCGGGGGCAATCAGTATTCCGAACAGCTTTCCAGGTCGGCCGGACGCTGATCCATCAAACCCCGACACTGTGTCGCTTTGTATCTGAGGCAACCTTCAGCGTTAAAGAGGAGCACCGACAGTCCTCTGTCACCAGGAAATTCACTGTGTGTGCTTGTGTGTGTCTTTTTCTATGTATGTGTGTGTTCATTCACATTCATAGACATTCTCCTAAATATACTTACAATCATCCATGGACACACTCACACACACATATCCACCAAATAATTCATATCTTAATGGCTGATGTTACCGTTTCATCCAAGCTCCTCCAATCACAAAAGGAGTATGTTTGTGTGTGTGTGTGTGTGTGTGTGTGTGGTGTGTGTGTGTGTGTGTGTGTGTGTGTGTGTGTGTGTGTGGTGTGTGTGTGTGTGTGTGTGTGTGTGTGTGTGGTGTGTGTGTGTGTGTGTGTGTGTGTAGCAGCTATCTTAGCTTGTCTCTTTGATCAGCCTATAAAAGCACTGAGGCGTGGACATATAGCCTGGACCAACACACTATCGCTCCTTCACTCCCTCTGAGTCTCTCCTTCTCCCTCACACACATTAACTATCATGAACACACACCAACACACTCGGAAACACTTTCCCCGTGTGTAGCTGCATCTCTCCCATCACCCGGTGGCTATGAGGAGTTTGTGCTGCCTCCTCAGCTTTATCTGTCAGTGGTAAATACATCAGCTTTTCTTTATCTGTTTTTCTCTTTATACTTGAAACTGTATTGCGCCAAAAGTTATTATAGTCATGCATCACAAAAAGTGAGTGTGACTCTTTGAAAAGTGGTAGCAAATGTTGATACCCAATGGACTGCTGCTCTGTTAGTGACTTTAAAACCATCACACACTGAGAAATAATCTCAGTTTTCCACTGCAGTCACAACAACAGTAATTAGATTTACCGCGCTCCCTTTTTTTAATAGCAAACATGGGAACTTGGGAAATGATATTTTGACTTTATCACAATTTTTCACACAACAGTTTATGATTTCCTTCTCTCCATTTATTTCTCCTTTCCTCTCTATAACACTACTCTGTCTCTGTTTTCCACCCTAGATCAGTATATTCATGACGCATCTGTCTAACTATGGCAATGATCGGCTGGGTCTTTACACGTTTGTCCACCTGGCTTCCTTCATTCGATCCTGGACCAACCTGAAACTCCACACACTCCCACCGCTGCAGCTTGCACACAAGTACTTCCAGCTTTTTTCCGGAACAAAGGAATCCACTCTGGCAGGTGTGTTTGCTTGAATATTTGAACACGTGTACTGGCTTGTGTGTTTCTGCACTTGCCTGTACATTTTTTTATTGTGTTTTACAGTGTTATTATGTGGATTCAATGATGTTCAGGAATAACCAGGTTGTAAAAGCTGTTTGATGTGGAAAGTGAGTCCTGTTTTCTTTTGTAAAAGAAAAGAAAAATGCTATATTATACGTTTTATCTTTCCATAGAATATATCATGAACATATCATCATACACAATTGCAAAGTGTATATTGATAAATTGCCCAAATGTCATAGTCAAATTTATGATGGTTTATTGAGAATTCATTCTACACGTGCTAACTTTGTCTCACATCTGAAAAAGAAGGAATTCAAGATTAAATTGCTTTTTGTAAGTAAGTGAAACAATAATATAAATCAGTCATTCTATGTAGTAAATACTGTATATTACATGTCACTTGTTAGATGCTTTTATCCAAAGCGACTTACATACATTCAGTATTGTGGACAATCCACACAGGAGCAATTTGGGGTGAAGTGTCTTGCCCAGGGACACAACGACATGCTGACTGCAGTGGGTCTCAAACTTGCTATCCCCTGATTTGAAGTCCAGCACACTATCCACTGAGCCACAGCTTCCCGTATATTAATAATAATTGCCATGTATGTTTATACTTGATCTCTATATGCAGCCTACACCATGAGTCTAACCTATATTCCTTTGTCTTTGCATCTTAAGAACCCTTGTGATGACAAACGACATAAAGACATCTGGTCTAAAGAGAAAACCTGTGACAGGTTACCCAAGTTCATGGTCATAGGGCCACAGAAAACAGGTGAGCTACACACAACAGAGACACCGCTTCTGTGTGCCCAGGTGTTGAGATCATCAACATCAGAGCCTGTTCATCTAATCCCCACAGCTCCCTTGGCCCTGCCAAAGGGAGACAAAGGAGGAGGCTCTTACCTCCTTTCTTCCACCCACTATCTACTTTAGATGCACAGAGATACAGTGCTGAGCCACACACCTCTCCTTGTATGGCTTTCTTTCTTTGAAAGAGACAAAAAAAGGAGATCTCTATCTATTTACGCTACTTGGATCCAGAGCAGCCTTCATGTTATCTCATGAATTCTAATTGCCGGTGTTTGATGTGGGAGGTGAGGAGGTCCTACAATGCTGCTAATTACCAGATGATGGTTTACTAAATGGGAGGAGGGGTCACTACAGCAACGTTAGCACTCTTACAACAACTACGGTTCTCGTTTTATTGCGGTGTGTGCCTCGCAATGAAAGAGATGTTGGAGCAAATAGGAAACAGGGTGAGGGGGATGTAATACAATGCATAGGAGTAGTGTTAGGGGGACAGGGTGAAAAGAGGACTGCTGAGGGAGAGACAGAGGGCACGACCAGAGCCCCAGTGCTTATTGGTGTCAAACGCTTTTGAAAGATTTGATGGGGAGGCCTGTGATCATCATCACACACACACACACACCATATCTCACACACACACACACACACACACACACACACACACACACACAGCATTATCAGCAAGATATCAATCGCCGAGGAAAGAAATCATCCAATATGGATCAGTGGATGACAGCTCTCACACATACTGACGCACACACACAGACTTCTCTCTACTGAGCTGAATTAACGAGCCAGTTATGAATTATGCCCTTTCTTCCAGGAACGACAGCACTTTATCTCTTCCTACTTATGCATCCCTCCATCTCCAGTAACTTTCCCAGTCCAAAGACTTATGAGGAGGTCCAGTTCTTCAACACCAATAACTACCACAAAGGAATTGACTGGTGAGAGCGCAGACACACACCCTATCTTTCATGCACTCTGTTCCTTTTAATTGGTGAAACCTAAGGTGAACAGGGACATTATAGACATCCACTTTTCATTTTTGCAAGGTTGTTGTATAGACTTGAATGTGTCTTGCAGATTTCAATGATACATTAAGCAGATCTAAACAGTTCAAAAACATCTTCACAGTGATATTTTAAGCCTGCAGACATACGGCTGCCTAAATTGACCCATAAATGTGTTACTTAGCTGACAGAGACACTGCTGGTACAATCTCCAAAGTCATCCAGAAAAGCTTTAACTCTTAAATTGTGTCATTAAACACATTGAAAATATGTTATCAATTCAATTTTAGGCTTGTTGTCTATGCACAGTTTAAGGCCATTCTTCTGTGACTGTATCTGACTTTAAAAAGGATGTGTAATGCTGTCTTCTGTATGAGGTGTGTATCACAAGTGTGTTTATGTAGCATTTCCTTTCAATGTTCTGTTTGTCTCTTGCCTCAGGTACATGGAGTTTTTCCCCGTGCCCTCTAATGTTAGCACTGACTTCCTGTTTGAGAAGAGTGCTAACTACTTCCCCTCAGAGGAGTCCCCCCGGCGAGCCGCTGCCCTGCTGCCCAAGGCCAAGATCATCACCCTGCTTATCAACCCCTCCGACAGGGCCTACAGCTGGTATCAGGTATGTACAGAAACACACACAATGTATTTGATATTTGATTGATAAATGTTTTTTTTTTACTCTCATAAGCTCCCTGCTTCATTATATGACCTGCTTTATCTCTGTATTGATTTTAATTAAGTTTGGAGTTGAAGCTGTGAGTCTGGAGTTAATGAACATGATTTTTATTAAACGTCTCAGTGCGAAACATTTCACAGGAACCTGAAATCTCTTTTGATTAATAAGACATGCATTTCAACAGCATACCTGCACAAATGTTATGTCATTAACAACAAAGATGGTGTCTTCTTCCAGGTTTAAAATATACTAGTTTAAGAGGCGGAATGAGATCAATTGTACAATAAAGGGCATTTTTTAAGCATATATGGCTGAATCTGCTTACGTTCCTAGCATCAAAGAGCTCATGAGGACCATGCAGCCCTGCGCTTCACCTTCTATGATGTCATTAGCGCAAGACAGGGAGCCCCGGCCGAGCTCCGCTCCCTGCAGAACCGCTGTCTCCTCCCCGGTCTGTACTCCTCTCACCTAGACAGGTGGCTCACTTACTACCCTGCTAACCAGGTATGCACAGGATCAAACACACATGCACTTTTTGTTATTCTAAATGTGTATGTTAAAGATGATTATTATATTTGGAAGAAAGTGAATGAAAGGGATCTTTTTTTCCCTTCTATATAGTGTATTGATTATTACAAATGTAACTGAAGGAATGGCTAACCATATTATTAGATTTCAATGAATTTAGATGGGTGTTACACAATGTTACACTTACTACTACTGCTTTACCTGTATGAATTGTAGATGTTGTTACACAAATAAGCCGCCACCATGCCATTACCTTTGTTCAGTACCAAAGTCAGTTGTTACAACCTTACTAGCTTGTAAATAGTACCCATTGTTACAGTATGAATGTATCTGTGTTTAGGTCATGATCATAGATGGCCATCAGCTGAGAACTGACCCTGCAGCAGTGATGGATGAAGTCCAGAAGTTCCTGGGAGTCACTCCTCACTTCAACTACTCCCAGGCTCTTACGTAAGTCTCTATTCCTTTTTCTCACCAGTCTGTTCCACCTCAGGGCTCCAGGGGTAGGCGCACCTTTAACCTGGAATGCATCATAGGAATGATTAGATATTAAAGTTCTAACAATCCAAACCTACATTTGTGTGAATCCTGCCATCTACTGGTGAACAGTGGGGCCTTAAACTGAGACACCTCTTCTTTGCCAGTTTTTGGTGCCAGGTGGTGTTTGAAAACCACAACAGACAGTGGGTGTTTCTCAATGTCGAGGACGCTTGCTTGGTAGCACATGTCGTCCGAGTCACTTGCTCAATCTTTATTTATTTATATAGCACATTTAAAACAACCTTCAGTTGACCAAAGTGCTGTACAGGCAATAACTACAATATTAAATAACACAATGGGAGTACAATAATAAAAGAATAAAATAAATAAGAATCCTTCCTAGCCTCGGAAAACAAAGAATTGTGGGCTTGCTTTGGGAAACGTTATGGTCTCCACTGCATATGCCCTCGTTCTCTCCTTACTTGTTCAGCCAAACCCACGCCCCTGGAACTTTGTATATTCCCAGCAATCCTGTAGTATTCTGTGATATTTTCCTCTCCACTCCAGTATGACAGAGCAAGTTTCTCTCTTCTGATCTCCAGAGGTGTCTCTCCTCTCGGAGTCGGCTTGACTCGGTTTGCATTTAGAAAGAATGCACAAAGTGTTTAATCGTTAATGTCAGATATGTACTAAGTAAATAAATGTGTTCCTGCTCAAGATTAGATTCAACTTTATTGTTATTGCACATATACAGGTACTGAGACAACGAAATGCAGTTTAGCTTCCAACCAGGATGCAAAAAGCATAAAGTGAAAAGTAATGTATACAATCTACAGAATAAATATAGAATGAATTGAATTATGAATAAACAGTGAGGGGTATGAATACACTAGATATACAAAGTAGCAGTATGAACAGTATTAACAGTATGTATGAATATGCTAAGATATATAAACGGTAAGCAGTGCAAGTATAGTATAAATATATAGATATTCATTTATGAATGATGATAAACATTGTGGAACAATGATGAAAATTGTGAATGGAAGTGGCGACGTAAAACTGACACAACAACAACACACTTTTGCGGAGCCAGTTTCATCACCAGCATGGGGCAGGGGCGGTGCCAGGGGGAGCTAGGGGGTGCTGAAGCACCCCCCAGGATTGCCAAAGCACCCCCTAAGCACCCCCAAGAAATATGTGTTTTTTTTATTTTTTTTATTATTATTATTATTTTTATAAATTAAATTAGAAATATTATTGATTACATCAATGCATATGTGAAACAAACACATTTTTGACCAAAACATAAAGCCAACACAGGTGATATGATTAGGCCAATGGCCAGCACCCATTCGATTTTGACCTACCCATAGACTAAATTACTTTGTGACACTTGGGTGACTTCCTGTTAGCTAGAGCGCCATATGATTGCTAACAGCAAAGTGGAAAAATGATCGTTTTTAATCCTTAACGTCCCACGTGTGGACACTCAATCAAAACCAACTGAAAGCGAGAGGGATTCTGCACATAATAGGCCTCGTGAGTACAAGTAGCTTACTTCTGGGTCTCTGTGTTTCATTCAAGCCCTGCTCTGTGTGTGTGTGTGTGTGGGTGTGTGTGTGGTGTGTTGTGTGTGTGCGTGTGTGTGTGGTGTGTGGTGTGTGTGTGTGTGTGTGTGTGTGGTGTGTGGCACGAGCCATTTTGTGTGCGTGCTGTGCGCGAGCGAGCGAGAGAGCTCGCCTCGCGCACCAGTGGGTATCTACCGGAGATCGTTGTGGTTGTCACTACCCGATCTGCAGCTCTGCCCGATCTGCAGTGCGCATGTGCGAGATGGTCCGCCATATTGGACAACTCCGGACGGCAACCCAAATAGGACAACATTGACACAGTGGCTTTGGCCAAAGCTAAAAAGGAAACTCGAGAGGGATGAGTTATTGTTATTACAACGTGACTTCAACTATTATTTAACAACTATTTTTATTGGGTTCGTTTATTTGGGGTTAAGTACATTGTCAGAATAAGTGAGAAATGGATTTAACTTCTGTTAGACAGCTATCATACTGAATACATATTTACTGTGAATGTGTGCAAAAACGTATGCATATAGCTGTCTTAACAGAAGTTAAATTCATTTATCACTTATTCTGACAATGTACTTAACCCCAAATAAAAGAACCCATAAAAAGAGTTGTTAAATAATAGTGAAGTCACGTTGTAATAACAATAACTCATTTCTCTCTCGTTTTATTTTTTGAGCTTTGCTAAAAGCCACTGTGTCAAGTGTCCATCTTGGGTTTGCCGTCCGGAGTTGTCCAATATGGTGGACCATCTCGCACATGCGCGCTGCAGATCGGGTAGTGACAGTGGTTAGCATCTGGTGCTAGCTAGCCAAGCTAACGGATATAAGGAGCTTTTTCAACAACAAGGGTGAGAGAGAACTCTCTCCTGTCAGACGGAGAGTCTCAGGTAACCTCAGCTCAGGTGAAGTAAAAGGAACTCTCTCAGTGTTTAGATGGTTAACTTTAGTCTAGTTATCTCAGTGGGTCTCAAACGGTTTGTTTTAAAAGGGGAGTGATTTGTAAAATATCTATAAAGAAAAGTAAATCTGTTGACAGTTTCTGTTTCGTATGGGTATTGAGAGATGTATCCATAGATCTCTTAATGTTGCTCTCAAAGTGCACCCAGATTGATGCTTTTAACTTCAATATTTAAAAACAAATCTTCCCGGGGGAGCATGCCCCGGACCCCCCTAGAGGAGGTGAGGACCCTCCTAGAGGAGGTGAGGTCCGCTCTCCACTTGTAAAAATAGCAACTTTAACCACCCCTGCCTATATGCCGTGAGCTGATTATCGAGCCTTCATTGTAACAGTCGCGGGTGCACTGTGTGGTGTGTGTGTGTGTGTGTGTGTGTGTGTGTGTGTGTGTGTGTGTGTGTGTGTGTGTGTTGTGTGTGTGTGTGTGTGTGTGTGTGTGTGTGTTGTGTGTGTGTGTGTGTGGTGTGTGTGTGTGTGTGTGTGTGTGTGGTCTGGGGAGTGTTGCAGTAGACAATTCAACTGTAGCGCTGGTGTCATTAATGGGAAACCCTAAATGTTTGAGCACCCTCTATGAAACGTCAAGCTACCCCACAGCACCCCCTAGAGGACATCTCTGGCGCCGCCACTGGCACGGGGTAAAAACCACCAATGAGCGCTCAGCTCGAGATACCAGCGAGTCGTTTCCCATCAAGCATTTCGCTTCTGCAGCTCGTGGATAGAAACTGCTACTGCTGCCTCGCTCTCAGGCTGCGGGCGTCTTTGTTCCGCGAGATTTCAACGTCTCATGCAGTCGAGCCTCCAGAGCAAGTCGGACAAAATGACTAACCATCATGCAACGCACTAGCAAGACGGCGGTCGCAATTGCGCAGGTCTGCGTCGGTCTCGCTCATCTCAAACAAGCCTAGTGGCTCTGGAGCAGCTTTACTCGACATTGAGAAACGGCCAGGGTATCTGTTTATTGCACACCCTTGCTTGGATACAATCATTACCAAAGTAAGAACATATGCCCTTATCAGCCAGGTGCTAAAAACCAAATGCAACTATTTAGTATGTTAATTTCTTCGTCATCTATCCGTCATTATCATAGGTCATTATACGTGTGTTTACACTCCGTTTTCCATTGACTTCCGGTAAAAGTTCCTTCAAAAATAAGAGTCCCGATCTTATTACTATCAAAATAAAAGTACAAAACGAAAATGTTACCATAAGAAAAATATTGGCATACAAATATAAAAAGGTAACTCATTTTAAATATAGTTAGACATATTAAAGGTAATTTACAATAATAAAAATAATAATATTAATATTAGTAATAAGCTTTATATTTGTATAGCACCTTTTATACAAGAATTGTAGCCAAACTCGCTTCACAGCAGTTCAATAGACAAATTAGTATAACATGACAGGATAAAAGCAATGTAGAGGAGCAGCTACATTTCAACAAATATATCCACTAAGATTATACATGAAGACTTGTGACTCGGACTTGATTGGACTCTTCTTGGTGACTCAGACTTGGACTCGGACTCGAACATAGGTTAATGATGACTCGGACTCGATTAGGGACACTCCTTGGGTGACTTGGACTCAGACTCGAACACAGGTAATGATGACTCGGAACACTCCTTGGGTGACTTGGACTCAGACTCGAACACAGGTAATGATGACTCGGACACTCCTTGGGTGACTCGGACTTGGACTCCGACTCGACTCCGACTCTTCGCACACGCTCGCCTCGGGGAGGCATGAACTGCATGTTTCTAAATCCACCTTCTTCGGCTGCTTTTGTGTATTTTGTGGCGGAAACACAGCGCCACTTACTGGCCCGGCATATGTACTACAGCATCTCCAGCGGGTCGAGCGGTCTTGTGTGGACGGACACGTTTATTGAGCCGATACCGTGTGGATGGAAGACTTTTTTGATATCGAATTCGGTTCGTTCTCCGTTTCGTCTCCATGTAGATGCAGCCTAATGTGGCAGGTATTTTTGTGAAAGTCTTAACCTGAGGAATGACTTGATAAGCTTTAATTATTCAAATTGGTGGTGATCAATGTTCAACACTTAATCTCCTGCCCACTCATATTTCAGGCATACTTTCTAATCTATTCAAAATAATAACTGATTACATTGCTTGTACAATCTGGAGTTCAGAAATAATAATTGTATTAGATATTGAAAACAATATGTTCTAGCATCAAGTTGTATACCTATTCTTTTGTCAAGCGTCAGCATCCTATGCTGCTGGCCCGGGATCAGATCCCAACAGAGCGTTGAATGTCTCACTTACAGTGCCTGTCTGTCTGTGTCACAGCTGTCTGAATAAAAACAAGGATGGAAATGTTGGCGCACTGCTCAATGCCAATCAGAAAGAATTAAAGCAGCAAAGAACTAATGTTGAGTAACCAAGATTAATAAGTAATGCAACTACGTCTACAGTTTAAACATATCTTTGCAGTCTTTCAGATAAAAAGGCAAATACATTATCATGTAGCTGTAGTCACAAAAGATCAACTGCATTGACCATTGATCACCTGAGGCACATTCCCAATAGTTGTTAACAGCATCATGTGTATATTCTGAAACACAGATATAACCTCCTGGAGAAAATATATGTTTTGAAAATAAGCATTCATTAGTATTTTTTGTATGTTTCATAATATGTCCCTTGTAGATGAAAAGAAAAGTGTATTTTATTTTACAATAAATAAATAATTATCTTTCTTTTAAAATTATTTCTTCTTTGATCAATATTAGAAAGAAAAAAACGATCTCCTGACAGCTCAATCTCTGACTCTCCCTGAGTATTTTCTTCCTCACTTAGTGCTTTGTTTACTTAAGTATATTTCTATTCAAATATAGAAAAGCCAAATCACATGTGGATGTAATCATTAGAAAGCTTTTCACAGGTTTACACCAGGACTCAAAAAGGCTGCATGCATGGTGTTTGAAACAAAGGTGTCAGTGTCATGTCCCCCTCAGAGAACAAAATGTAGACCAATGTATTCAGGCTGTTACGGTGTGCAGGAAGCAGGACCCAAATGCAGATTAGAGTAAAAATAATTCCTGTATTTCAAGGCTAGATATACACAAAGACAGAACGGACCACTCACCGATGAACTGGTCATTACACAAGACAACCCGACAAAGAGAGACAGAAAACCCAGAACTTAAATATACCCAGGACTAATCAAACAAACCCGAAACAGGTGAGGAGGGAGGAGAAAACACAGAGGCACCAGGTGAACACAATCGGGTAATCAGGGAGGGAAAACAGACAAAAAGCAACAGGCAGGAACGGGGGTGAACACTTTACAAAATAACACAGGAACCCAAAGATAGAAAAAGACAAGACAAAACAACAACACAGACAGATCCTAACACAGGCTTTAATATGTGTAATATATGGAAGTGATAACTCGAGCGGAGGTAAGCATATTTAGCTTTGCCCCCCTGATGCTCTGTTTCAACTCATTCTCTAATAGAGAATATGACCTTCAACAGTTTATTTACCTCAAGAACCTCCATCAGAAGGCCACAAACCTCAAATTCCAGAAAGGGACATCTCAAATGTGTAGCTAAATTGAGAAAGAGAGTACCTCTGTTCTGAATCCAAGCTAAAATGAAAGCATATAAATTGTAAAGAGATGAATTTTGTGTGTTGTGTGTGTGTGTGTGTGTGTGTGTGTGTGTGTGTGTGTGGTGTGTGTGTGTGTGTGTGTGTGTGTGTGTGTTGTGTGTGTGTGTGTGTTGTGTGTGTGTGTGTGTGTGTGTGTGTGTTGTGTGTGTGGTGTGTGTGTGTGTTGTGTGTGTGTGTGTGTGCTGTAGTGTGTGTGTGTGTGTGGTGTGTGTGTGTGTGTGTGTGTTGTGTGTGTGTGTGTGTGTGCTGTGTGTGTGTGTGGTGTGTGTGTGGTTGTGTCGTGTGTGCTGTGTGTGTGCTGTGGTGGATGTGTGTGTGTGTGTGTGTGTGTGTGAGTCGTGTGTGTGTGTGTGTGTGTGTGTGTGTGTGTGTGTGTGTGTGATGTGTGTGTGTGGTGTGTGTGTGGTGTGTGGGTGTGTGTGTGTGTGTGTGGTGTGGTGTGTGTGTGTGTGTGTGTGTGTGTGTTGTGTGTGTGTGCCTGTGTCCCTCCTCTTTCTATTCCTCCTTCTTGTGGCCTGCCGCGGTCTGCCCGCTCCTCCCCCCTGCCCGTCCTCTTTCTTTCCTCCCCCTCTCTTTCCTCCTCCTGTTGTCTGTCAGGAGGGCAAACTGAAGGAATGAAGCACTTAAGTCTTTTTTCCCCTTTTATTCACCCACTGGATGCATGCAGATAAAGACAAATATTTGCATTTTTTCAGTCACAACCACATGAGCCCTCATCACTCTGCACTGACGATAGCAGTTTTAACAATGCGGTATGTTTACCTCTTTAGGAAATGATGTGTACTATACTGCAAAGCAAAGGTGTATGGGATGTAATACCTGTATATGCTATGCCACAATTACTAAGAAATCAACATTATGCATACAGTAGATTAAGATCTGTACACATGCATACCCACAATAGCTGTACACATGAAAACACAACTTAAATACTTATATTCTGTATATGACATACATAAAATACATACAGTATTTGAAATAGATGCATATGTATTCATGCATATACATGGGACATCAAGCACATGTTTTTACCAGAATACTTTGCCGTGAAAGTCACCTACCATTTCGTCTCCAGGTGACAGGTGTCACATGACAGCTGCTGGGAGCCTTCACACTCTGCTAATAGGAGAGGCAATTTGGCTTCACAAGGGATGGTCATAGAGCCAAGAGGAACATGTATACATCGATCAAATGTATTAATATCTTCCTGCCTAACATTTATATACATTTCAGTAATGAAAGAAGGAACCATCTAAGCAGTGATTTTATGTTATCTGTTATCTCAATGCTATTATCTCTCTTTGGGAGCCATGTGTTTGCATTTCTGCTCTTCAAGAATGTAAAGTTGTGATGTCTTTATCTTTATCTGGTTATTTAAAGAAAGAATAGAACAGATAGAACAACATACTGTATATATTGTGTTTCAAATGGAGTACATAAGCATTACATTGAAAGCAATACATCAAAACTAATTAAGATGATATGTATACAAACGAAAACAAAAAAGTAAAACAAACATGATAAAAGGAGTGTCTCTGCTGCCCCGATGCTATATATACATAATACAGTAATAACCAGTGTATTACTGCATTAACTAACCAACAAATTATACTTGTGATTATTGTGAGTCTGCATTGAGAGGGAGAGTGCGATGGAGAATAGTTTATATCTAGAAAGAGGCTGCGCTATGAAGAGAAGCGACATGGAGATGGAGGCTGATAGAGACAGAGATGAAACGAGACAGTGTGGCAGTTCGAGAGACACCGATAGCAGGAGAGTAAGAGACAGTGTTGAATGCGTAGTGGCATTTATGTCTAGTCCAAGATGAGCTTACTTTCTTAAAAGAAAAGACACTACTCTATATCCGGACTGAACTGACATCTCTTTTACATTTGTATTAAGAATGATCTTCTTTCTCTCCTTTTCTCTTCTCTCAGATTTGACCCTCAGAAGGGCTTTTGGTGCCAGCTCCTTGAGGGAGGAAAGACAAAGTGTTTGGGAAAGAGCAAAGGGAGAAAGTACCCTCCTATGGAGCCAGAGGTAAAGATTGCTGCACAGTGTGGCAAACGGGTATATGCATTGAATGAAAAGTAAGAAAAAGAGTCTAATAAAACAGAAAAAGCAGCAGCCTGACTGACAGTGATACACAGTCCCCTTCATTGCTGTGGCAACATTTCCCACCGGGCTCGGCGTTGGGGTGGAAACTGTCAGCCAATCAGATCCTGGCAGAAAGTTACAACCTAATTATGAGGACTCAATAGGGACACAACACCCGTGAGATGGGGGGGGGGGGGTGGCGAGGGATTAGGATAGAAAGAGAAAGGTAGAAGGAGAAAATCCAATCCATAAATCTTTGTGCTGGCCTCTGATTCCACAGAGGAGAGACCAGACCTGCCCGACAATGAATCACACAGTTGCGCTCACATGAAGACAAATACACATAGATGCAATTTGTCTTCCCTCATGTGCTCACTCACACATGGCTAATGGTTGCGCCTTAGTGTCACCTGTAATTAAACTGTATTTGAGTTTCCAACACGGGGAAATAGGAAAGGACAGATGAGAAGGAAATAAAAATAAAGAGAACACCAGGGAAAAGAGGCAAGATAGAGGAAGTTAACTGATTTACAGAGGAGGGGGAGATAATGGATCTCATACATCCTTCATATATATTTCTCCCTCTTTCTCTAACCTCTCTTTCCCTAGCCCTACCAGTCGGCACTTAGTGGCCTATTGGGGAGAAATATACAAATCTAAAGATGGTGGCACCTCATTAATCTCTCTCAATTTCTTGCTTGCCCCCTAATTAAATGTATCCTCTATATATCCCTCTTTCCAACACTTTTTTTCTATTCTTACTTTTTTTCCTCCTTGCTAATGACTCTCCCAATTTCTTGTCTATTTCCACATGTCTTACTCTACCTTCTGTCTTCCTCATTTACCACTAATCGTATCTTGACATTTTTTTCTCTCACTCCATCTCCCTTATTCACCATCAATGTCTGCTCATCTTCTTATGTATTTTGTTCTCTGTGGCCTTACTCTACTCTCTTCAGGCACACGCATATCTCTCCCGGTACTACAGGGAACACAACGTGGAGCTGTCAAAGCTGCTGCATCGCCTCGGACAGCCCCTTCCCTCCTGGCTAAGAGAAGAGTTGCAGAAGGTCAGCAGCCACAACATTTGCAACATTTATCTAATGAAGTTATCATTTTTAAATGGTCTTACGTCAGCAAATAATCTTTTTTTAAAAGCTCTTAAAGCCAAGAAAATGTGGTTTTAAATTAGTTTGTGACTAATTAGCCAACAATCAGTGTTACAGTTACAAATAAAATATACAACTTTTCTTTAAGCATGTTAATCTCAAACACTCATCAGGACTGTGCAAGTGTGTTTTAATCAGATATTTCAGGCTGGTGTGTAGTGTAGGCCAATGAGCAAAACACAGCATCATTATGTTGTATAAGAAGAACTTATTCTTGGCAGAAAATAAGTAATAAAGTAATTCTATAAGCTACTGCTGTAAATATCCAGTAAAAGGTATTTGTAACTGTTGAAAAAAAGTCTTAATTCACACAGAATTAGTTGCCAAATTTGATTTACTCAAGATAGTCAACAACAAAAGCGATAAGCCATGGACGAACTACAACATCTATAGAAGTCTGACACTTAGATCTAAGCCTAATCTATCTTTTAGACAGTGCTAGAAACAAAATATTAATAATAATACATTGTATTCATCTAGCGCTTTATCAGGTGCTCAAAAGACGCTTGAGGATTCAAACCCACCACAGTCATTGATTTGGATTTAATTGGTACGATGAAATATATGTCATTGCCCTTAGTTAAACACACAGCAACAGCAACAGATGTAGGACATGATGGGATGATTCAAAATACAAAGAAAATACAAATATCACTAACATGTAAGCAAAGCAAGACATCTATTTGAGTACGGTAATTACTTCATAATCCAGTCAGGTTATTCTAAACATGTGGCTGTGAAGCTTCCTGGTGTAATTGCTCACCTTGATCTCTGCAGAGCCCTCTTTCTACTGCAGTGCTCAACAATGTTTTCTTTGTCTGCGGATTTGTTTGTGCAACTGTTTGTCACTGTTTATGAATCAGAGGGAGCCACTTGACAAGGCTGCTTAGGTTTTCCAGCCAATTCACAGCAATCAGAGCCTGTTTTCTTTCCCTTTTTCATGGTTGGCATTTGAATCAATAGGCGAAGGAATTGGATTAAATTACTTTTTTCTTATCTTTGTCCTTTTTCCTCTGTTTTTTATTCTCCACCCCCTCCATCTTGTTACCTATTTCTGAAGGTTAGATAACGTTGGCATCCATTAACCAGGGTTAAAGGTCAAGAGGTCCAAGACCAGGAAGTGACCAGGAGCACCTGACCTTCAGATACACTGTCTGTGGCCTTTTAGTGAACCCTGAGGTGATGGCAAGGACAAGATGCCTTGTTCCACCTCGGAGCTAGGACACTGCTGGAAGGAGCCGAAGGCATGAAAGCGCAAACAAATGTTGGCGCTCTGAAACTGAACTCTTGAAAGAATGGATGGAGGAATCAGAGTTTCAGAAGACTCCGACAGCTCTAAAGAAAGCGGGACTAAAAGGAAGAGCCACATTAGGAAGATGAAGAGCAATCTTTGAAGGTCACACGCTGTTCAGAACTTTTGTGAACTCTCGTGCAGACCTGCAGTGACTTTGATGGTTATTTTATTTTATTTTCACCTTTAATTTATGATGCCAGGACAGCGCGGGTCAGCTGTGCGTGGTTCCCATAGAGATGACTTTGCACTATGTTCCATTCCATGTATTTTCAAGACAAAAGAAACGCAGCCTTTGTGGTTTTGTTTAAATATTTTTTATAGTGTTGTTTGTCACAATAAGAGTGTATAAGCAGGGAGGATAAGTGCATAGACTCAGGGTGGGTGACTGGCTGTTACTTGCCATGACAGGTTCTTATCAATTTGTAAAAAGTTGTTTTAAGTGAAGCTAGTTTCTGGTAGATCTGGTAGCCTTGTTCACCCTTAGAGATGTCACTTGAGGCTTTCACTGGAAAGTGTGGACTAGAAATTAGTCATTGAAGCAAGATGCATTGCCCACTCATTATTTTCCTTTGACAAGCCATGCAGAAGAACGCTGTGTCCATTTAGCAGAGCATGAGCACTGATGACTTCAGCGCTGAAGACTGAGGGGACATGAGTTTGTGGGAAGTAAACTGAGCAAAATGAGCCTAATGGATATGACACTTAATTCCAAGACTCTTTAAGTAGCTACTGTAACAGCAGGCAGTCTTTGTTTTGTAAGTTTCAACCTTCTTTTTCTTTCCTTTTAAAAAACCAGTGGCCTACGTTGTTGAGCTTCAATCTGAATGCAAAAAAACCTCTAAATGTCAAACACACAAACCAAAATTAAAGAAATCAATATTACTGAGTGCATAATATGTGTCTTTTGTGACCAAGTACACAACACAGATAACCCATATTGTACAGGGACACACCATCATACTAACATTCGTTCACACATGATGTGGCATAAATGGTTGACAGTAGCCTCTTTGTCCTTTTTAAGGTAAGTGAAAATGGCATGGATGACAGTTTGCTGTTTGACACATTTTTACTGTCTTTGGTTTTAACACAGTCACCATTAATGTTGTAAACAATATAACACATAACACACCTGATTTTTCTTCTCAGACATACTTGAAATGTGAACCCATACTTCAATGGACAACATGGTAATCACATATCAGAGGGTGTGGTATGCTGCAGTAAGGGTTGTAAGGAGAGATTGTATTTGTTGAGCAATGTTTTGTTAAAGTCTCTGATCATAAAATGAAGAACATTTGCAATAAACCCTGAATGTGACAGAGAAGATTTGACATTACCAAAGCGGCAGCTAAAGTTTAGCCATGTAGTCACAAAAGGAAAAAATGTAAGACTGTACTCTGGGAGAAATCAATTAAAACATCCATGGCAGAAGTAAAGGACAACACACAGCATGTGAATGTCAGATAGTGAACATATGGTCTATATTTGAAAAGATCCAAGGCACTTTCAACACACTTTAAACTCAAAGAGCCCTTTTTGCCAGATATGGATGATAATGGAAGTATACAATAAAGCTTCCCATAAATCACTAACCGTATCTACAGTAGCTGCATCCTTGCAGGAGTCCATTGTGTTTGTAAGGAGATATAACTGACTCTGTTAGAGGGCTGAAATAATCCAGTTATGGTTTATCGACAGCAGGGTTCGACCTTAGAGTTCAAAGCGGTGAGTATACCAGGAAGCACTCCGTTTTTACATATTAAGTCTGTGGTCTGCAGATACGGTAAAGATGAAAGAAATTATACTTTATAGGATATCAGCAAACAGTCATAATGTTTTAGGGATATCAAATAGGAAATGTTTTTACAGTCACTGTAAAGCAGAAGTTGCAGCCTGGTAAAATGCCCATACGAAGATTTAGGTTGTTGCAGCAATATCTTTTTCTTATAAGTATGTAGATCTGTTGTTCCAAAAGGCTTTTTTTAAGATTATAGTTTAAATAATTCAAGTTTAAATACAATGATAAAATAAGTACATTACTCGTGTTGTACATAGAGATATAAAAAAGTAACCCAAATCCCAAAACTGTAAAAAAAAATCCAGCCATCTTCAAACACATCTGGTTAAAGATGATTTTTCTAGCAGCCAATTTTAATCCGCATGAGATCACTCTTTTTCATGTTTTAGCAGTTTTCTCAGATCTTTCCCAACTGGTTTTCCCAAGTGTTGCCAGATTTTAAGGGATGGAAATAGATATGAGCAGAAATAAATTATCCATGTATAATGAGACCTTCTGTTCTGCACCTCCTCTGGTGACATCTAATATAAGCTCATTAGTGCAGAGAGCTAGAGGTTCAGTGGGAATAGCAAAAAGAAAAAGACCAAAAAGGGCAATTGCTCCCTGGTTCCTCTATTCATCAGGTGTTTTGATTGTATATTCACAATGTTTATTCAGTATCTTGAACATTTTCAATATAACTGCAGCGTCGATGTTGGAAATGTAATCAGCAGACATAAACAATGTTTTGACAAAGATAATCAACATAAAAAACCAGCACAAGAAAGCAAAATAATTAAATTGAATAATTGTCATAATAACCACTATGAAATTCAATAGAATCTTCAATTCAACTACCATAAAATGTATTTAGTTAAAGTGTATATTATGTTAATTGTTTATCAATGGTTTTTTAAATTATTTATTTTACGCTATATGACATTCACACTTTTTTTGGTGGACGGGGGAATAACAAAACGTTTTGATGTTAGATGTTCCATAATATTAACCTTAGAAAATTAGTTCCAATATGTTGTAATGTGTGATAGTGACCACAGGAGGGTGCTCTTACAAATTAAGGACTACTGTGCTTTGGCTGAGAGAAGTTCTGTCAGTTTAGGCAAAACATTTAGCAGATGTGAAACAAGATCAGAAAAATTTATATTTATCCCCTCCTTGTGCCTTCTGAGCTTATTCGTTAAATTAAGTAGCTTCCTCCTTCCTAATATGTTGTTACCGTGGAATAGTTTAGCAGTGTGAAACCATCACACCTGGTTGACTCATTATTTTGATAACGCGTTTCGTAACTTCACTATGCTTCATCCCAAATATATAAGGAGGAAAAAGGGAATGGTACACTGATATAAAGTCCTTAATGCATTTTGAGCAACTTGATAAGCGAAGTTACATTAACGTGATATTCAAAATCTAAAGCTTGTCTAAAAGTAGAGCCAAAACATCGGATCAACCCCCAAATATGAGCGTAATGACAACAACATTATTTGTATGATGCCCTTTCAAAGTCGTTTGAATCATTGTGGGCTCAAGTTATGTATTTTGGTTTCGAAAATGCTATAGATGATACAGTGTTAATGTCCAGGGGACAATGTTCTATGTGGGGATATAATCATTGTATCTTGCTGTAAAAGTAAATTCAATTGCAATTGCAAGGGCCATCCATACAGATTTATGGACCAGTTTCATGTAATGGGTCAACCACACGGCGGTGCTTGTTCTGTAACATACTGTACTGATATAGATGTTGTGGCAAGAGGAAGTATTTCGCTTTTTAAAGACAATACGCTTTTCACTAAATGCATGGGAAATGTACTGTAGTGTTTTGTCAGAAGAAACAATGCCATTACATAACTGGTAAAAAGTTACATTAATGATGCAAAACATATTGTTTAAGCACATGAGGAACAATAACAAATTCTGGGAAGATGATAAATGTGATTTTTTTCATGCCAACATCTCATGCAGCCTCCCACTGTAGCAGTTGGTCCCAGTTCTTAAGTTGTGTTGAGTCAACATTACATGTTTGCCTTGTAAATAAGGACAACTGGCTGCCATTTCTGTAGCGTATACAGTGTGACAAACCAGCCACACTGTGTCTGGGCGTGTGTGTGCATACACATTGTCTGACACAAGTGGTGCTCACTTTGACAGTTTGCAGTCAGAAACAAACCTAAAAGGGTTCTTTCAGATGTGGGAGGATCACAGAATGTGTGATATCAAGTGCGAAAAAAGTTTTTTTACCCAAGTGTATCATTGTGAAAGTTTGTGTATATAGCTGTTTTTGTAAATAAAAAATAGATAAGACTTAAGAACTTGAACATTAAACCTTTGATAAAAGGTGTTATTCTTGATGTTCTTGATCAATTTTAGTAAGATAGTGTTACTGAAAGGTTTGACTTGAGAAAGATAATACATTCTTGCATTCACATCTGATCATAATTTAAATTGCAAGTTCATGTATTTAATTTTAAATCTATAACTTTATTTAAAGTTAATCTTAATATCAATCAACCCTTTATTAATAATGGTTACTATAAAGTGTTACCTGCTAATTATACATTACAGTTCCATCAGCAATGTGCCTTAATATTTCATCGGTGTGTCAACATCAATTTTTTTTACAAAATCGTATTTATAAAGAAATGTTACAGTACAAATAGTCAGTTTACACCTAAAAAGATGGCAGTGTAGTTTTTCAAGTGTACCAGATTGTCTCTTTTTAACAACAACAACAACCCTATCCCGCCAAAACAAAAGCTCATGAATTAGAAGAGGATATGACAAATCAACACTTGCTATAATGTGCTTGGACGCAGAAACACTTTAGTCCCTTTCTTCCTCTGCAAATGTTAAGCAGCACTGAGACACGGAGAAATACTGACTGCATGCAAATGATAAATGCCTGAGAAATAACTAAGACCTGAAATATGCTTTTTACACAGCAAAACAATGAGCACAGAGAAAAAAAAAACAATAATAAAATGAGGGTCGAATTACATATTTCAGTTTGGCAAATGTCAATATGACTAGAATGCTAAACACAAAAGCACAAGATAATATGCAATAAGTACCTAAGGGGGTTCTTTGTGAAAGTGTTCAAGTCCATACAATGCGTGGCTAATTCTGTACATGTTAACAGTATGTTGTTGTATTTTTAACTGTGGTCCCTTTTCAACATTTTTAATCACATATCATAAGTTACACAATCATTTCATTGTAAAAGCAAGCACAGAAGTTTAGCATGCAATGTCACATGAAACAAGATATTTAAGTTACATAGATTCTCTTGGGTTGAGATTTGAATACAATACAAAATCTTGCATCTCAAGATGATATTAAATCAGTTACATAAGTGCTTATAACCCTCCTCTCTCCCAAAAATATTTAAAAGTTTCTAAGTGGATGGTTTATCCAATTTATAGCAAGTCCAGCATTGCCTTGTGCTTTTAATTTGAAAGTCAGGTTGTAACTAACATCCCCGGATTATCAGGTGATAACATCATGACATCAGTTATTCATGACTGAACTATATTGTTGTATCAGTTCAAGAAAGTCTTAAGTGTGATTCTTCTCAATATATAATTGTCCTTCTATCGTCCTCTCTCTTTTTGGTCATCACGTGTAATCACCTTGCGTATCCAGGGGCTGAAGGCAGACACTTTGGTGTAGACGCCAGGGGACTGTTGTGTCCGGCAAGCATGACCCCAGGATGTGACCCCGTAAACCACCCAACCCCCTCCTGGACGCTCACACACCAACGGACCTCCACTGTCACCACGGCAACTGTCCACACGCCTCTCCGACTGGATGCTGCCGGCGCAGAGCATGCGGCTTGTGAAGGCGCTGTGGAAATGATGCTGGCAGTGACGACGGGGCAGTAAGGATATGGGGGCCTGCTGAAGGGTCTTGGAGTATGAGCGACCTGAGAAAAAAGGCAAAGCATTACAGTTTAGAATTAAAGTGTTTGTGAGCATAATGTTAGTGTTTAAACCATGATAGTGGCATGGGATGGTTATGTTGGTCAGTCTGCTCATCTATTTGGTCTTGTAGCATGACCAGTAGGTTGGCAGTTTGGGTTTTGAGA